TTTTTTATATATTTTTTTATTTTTTAATTTTATTTATTTTATATATATATTTTTAAAATATTTATATTACGAATTAAATATGTATTTAAATATTTAATAATTCCTTTAAATAATTTCTTTAAATATTTGTTTCTCCTTTTATCATTTTTAATTTTTAATTGGGTGACGCTATGACCCATAGCGACACCGTGTCGCTATAGACCTTAGCGCCACTTTCATAAATTATTTTTTTTTTAAATTATTTACTTGTAGTAAAATTATTATTTTTTATATTAAATATTTGACGCTGTAGGTTATAGCGATTACAAATTGTATGTTAAATGTTATAGATTTGAGTGATGAAAATTATAAAGTGAACAGTAGAAATTACACTGTCATAAAAGTTATTGACTTTTATAACTTAACTAATAAGTATAATTATTTAATGTATTGTATGAATATATATTTCTAAAATAAATGTGGATTAATTGTTAAATGATACTATATGATATTAAGAATATGCTAAGTAGTAGTGGATTTTTTTATATTACAATATTTACAGAAATATTTATTGGTTTCGTGATAAAGTATAGTTTTCTTGTGAAATTTTAACTGCATTGTAAAAAAAAATATGTATATATATATATAATAAATTAAATTTGTAAATAATTTTTAAAAATAAATTGCTTTCATGAAATTAAATTTTATAATTTTTTTTACAATTTATTTCTCTTTAAAAGTTAAATTGTGAGATACATGGAATAAAATGATAATAATAAATATATTTCTGAGTTATATTATGCACTTCAAAATAATTTGATTATTTCAATTTAAAATATTTCTTATCATCTTAATTATTATTCTTCATTTTATTGATTATGTCGGTACTAAATTAATTAAAATTCATGATAAAGACTTGAAAAAAGGACATCAAAATATATTTAAAAAAATTAAGAAAAATATCAGGAATTTTAACCTGAAAAAATATTTTGCAAAGAATAAAATGAGACAGTTTGCAACTTAAGCTTAAATATTTGTGTAATTAATACATTTTGAAGTAGTAACATTCAATATAGTACATAAAAATGATTTCTATAATTAATGTATTTTGAAGTACATTTAATACATGGAAAAAATACAGTAATTATGTAATTTAATGCATTTTGAAGTACATTGAATGCATTGAATACATAAATAAAAAATTAATTAATGCATTTTGAATTAATTCAATACATTTAATACATAAAAAAAAAATTTGTGAAATTCAGGGATTTTGAAGTAATTGAATACATTTAATATATTAAAAAATGGAGAAAATTTGGTTATAGTACCTTAGGTACAATTGGTGTTGTTAAATTAAAGTTTTACATTGGTATTATGAAAATTCATTTAACATATGTTCCATCAATATACATTTACACATATTATTAATGTAAAACTTTAACTTTGATTGAAGAATAACACTAATTGTACTTAAAAAATTATATTTAAGATTTGTAAAAAACAATTAGAATATATATTTCTCCCTATGTTTTTTATTTCTTTTGTACTTACATATAAACAAAAAGTACTTAAATTTTTTTAGACTCAATTCTAAGAAAATTTTAATTAACATTTTTGTTAAGTAAAAAAATGATCTTAAATCCTCAAGTTTTAGTGTTTTAATGTTAACAAACGAAATATTTTTATAAGAGAAAATATCTTCAAAACTATCTTAGAAAATGTTTATCAGACAATGTGTAACACGTAGATCGTTTATAAGATAATGTGAATCAGACGAAGCATACATTTAGTCTCATATTCATTAAATGTTCATTATTTATTGAGATTAACAACAAAAATCATTTTGAATGTCTTGTTCCTTAACAGATCAAACTATAAAACTATCTAGGGACTGACAAATTTATTAAAGAGAACAATATCGTGATTTTCGTTAGGACAAAGAACAAAGATCCCTAAAATCATAGAGAAAAACAAATAAAGTCATTACTGTTGCACTATGCTGACATTACTTCTACAAGTATTATTTTGCATGGAAAGTTGATAAGTAGCTTCCTTAATTAGATAAAAGGTACCAATCAGTGAAATGCATTTAATGCTTACATTAAATGAGTTAACAATTACCTCCCCTCTCAAAAAGACGTTGAAGATAGATGAAACAAATTTGTGAGATGGACTCAAAATGCTGTAACAGTCATCTTTTCCAAGACACTATATAAGAAGATTTGAAGCTCAAGAAAGAAAGAAAACATCACATTGAAAAGACTTGTACGGAAACATATACAAAGAAATACTCTCTCTATAAATTATACTTTCTTTCGTGTAAAAGCTTACTACTTTACAATGGTTGTATAACGTCTAAGTGAGACGAACACAACATCTTTATAATCTTCATAATCATTGTTATAAGGTTGAACCTAGAGAGACTTATTTGTGAAACAATACTTGTTTAAGCTTGGAGAGACTTGGTTTAAAAGAATACTTGGTTGTTAAGCTTGTAAGGGTTTGTTGTTAAAAAAATACTTGGATAATTGCTTGAGGAGACAAGTAAAAAAATACTTAGGATTGAGGTATAAGTGAATGATTGAAAGAATAATCGTATCTTTGTTGAAAGATAGTGAAACTCAATCTGATTGGATTGAGAAATGGACGTAATCTCTATTATTAATACGAATTAGTATAAAAATATTTAATGTTTCATCTGACTTATCTTTGTACTCCATCTAACTAGTGTTATCATTTCATTATGCAAAAAGTGCGATTTTTTTAATACATATTATTACTCTCTTCTAATGTTTATCTTTTCTCATAATTTTTTTATTTAATGTTCTTACTCCAAAACTACCATTAAGGCAATAAATGAAAGCACTGCCTATAATAAATGTGATAAATTATATAATAGTAGTTTAATTTCAATGTAATATAATAAATGTGATAAAATTACAATAAGGTGTTTATTTGTAAAAATGGTAATGTTTAAGGATAAATTATAATAAAATTAAAGTTTATGGTGTCTATTTGCTAACATGACAAAGTTTAAGGATCAATTAGAATAAAATTAAAGTTTGTGGTGTCTATTTGCAAAAGGAATTGTAGTGTCTATTTGCAAAAGGAATAAGGTTTGAGGGGGCTAAATACTTTTTTCCCTATATATTAATGAAATCATAAAAATTGAATGCATTTAACTATTTTTCTTAATACGTGTTGTGATACCCTCTACCCTACATTCATAATTACACAATAAATAGGAATAATTAAAATCTTTCATAAATAAAACCAGAATCTCAAATATCTTACAGAGAGGATTCACATTCATAAACTCATAAATAATATCCCCAATGCGAAAATTACAAAAAAAAGAAATTGGGGTTTTCAAAATAGTTCAATGGAAACAACATCCTAAACTAGTCTTAACTACGCCCCGATGTCA